TGACATATTTCTCATACCAAAACTGTCAATGTGCCAAACTAATTCTTCAGTTAAAAGTTATCCGACGATTGAAAAATCAGCCCTTAGTAGAGTGCTTTTTCTTTGCGGTTGTAAACTAAGGCAGTTTAATTTGTGTTTTCAAAAATGACATAATCGGTAGGTATTAATACTCATTATTATACTTACTATGGTATTATGCTGGCACGTGTCAGACTGGAATGCAAGCAAAGCTATGTGTTTGTTTACAATGATATGTAAGTAATTATAATTTTAATTGAGATGAATGATTCTACTACAACTAGGATTAAATTAATCTCATTTATAGCAAATGTTTACGTCCAATAAAGAATTGTGATCTAATGGCAAGACTACAACTGCAATAATGTTAGTATTTTTAATTAATTTGATGTTTAGAACAAAACAGTAGGTAACAAAGAAAGTTTTACAACGGGTAGATGAAAACATTAGAGTGGGGTAAACGTAAAGTGAGACTAGACAAGAAGGATTTACCTACTCATAAAACTCATAAAAAACTAAATTCAAATTCAAATTATTTTATTACATGTCATATGGGTAAGGGCGTTTCTAGACGCTCTGATGATAATGTTAATAAATTGATTAACATTTTGACACAGTTTGCGAAATCAGGCCTGGTCTCCAGTATTATAAGAACAGATTAACTGAACTGAGATTAAGTTACGTGTTTTTCTTCAGAAACGCCTGTTTTTCCATTCTATGGCTTTAAGTATACTCATAGATCGCTAAACCCTAGACTTATCAGCAAGACATTAATATCAATTTAGAATTTATTAATTAAGGTTTTCCCACGAAATTGGTAATATTATGATTCTAGACTATGGGAATAGGGTTAATTCACAAATAATTATACCTTTTTACTGCGATTCGTGCACTAATCGAGATGGTTAAATAGCAAGGAATTTATTAGCTAAGAACGTAATTGATTTCTTGGGAGGGATTAGTTATTATGTCTTGTAATGAATAAATAATAAATCTCAACAATGTTAGAAGATAAGTTGCAGCTTGAATGACGCAATGGGGGTTGATGGGATATCAGTGCGGCGGTTAGGTTAGGATAGGTTATATGTTTCGTAAGAAAGGCAATATGATTTTGAAGAGGAAAGTATCATAGAGTTGGGGATGTTCTTCTTACTTGATCATTAAAATTAGGTTTACATTAATGTGCGTGAAAGAAACGTGGAGATGCTAATAGTGCATGACAAGTATTTCTATTTAAGGAAGTACCTTCTGAAGAGAAGGATCCGTATCTAGGAGATACTTATGATCTGGAAACGACATTGGGTGAATTTGCAGAACTTATGTAGCATAGAGTTGTATAAAAAGATCGCAAGACAAGAATCTAGGGTTGCCACACTGCTTCTTGCGACTAATAAGCACTATCTCCTAAAACCTAAGATTAGAAACAACATTTCTTAGGTACCTAAGGGCGATTAACATACAGGGGCGGTAAAGTAAGGTCAGGTTGATCTATAGGGAAGTAAAAGTACTAGCTTGAACACCTGTGAGATGTAATAATATAAGTGATGTTACATTTCCAGATTGTTGCATCAGAACATCATTGTATGGCCTCGCATGCCACGGTACTTCACATTGATTCAGGGGTTTATAGACATTTAAAGTGCATGGTGCACTTTACTAGGTACATCTAGGTATACGTGAAAGTTGTTGAGGAGTATTTACTTCTTCACGCAACTGAAGGAATTTGTCAAAACTTTACAATGCAATAAGCCTATAAGAACAGACATAAAAATGGCAGGCTAACTATTTTGCAAATTTTATCGAAATCCACGCGGAAGAAGTTATCATCAGGTCATTTTGTCTCCATTGACCATTGCAGGAGCACGACCATCTGTAATTTTCCGAAGGCAAATGGAGGATTTGGCTTAAATACTATCCATGATGGCCAGACGATTTAAGAAGGCCTGATGTTAGATCATGTTCTCTAATTATTTTTACGCCTGTGGATAGCCATATTCTGCTGGAACCAAACATACTAAAACTACTCGTAATACAGTGTGAGTCACGTTAAAGTGTACATATGAAAATAGATGAAACTAGACCTATTTTTATCGACAAAAAAGAGGTCAAATTTTTTTTGAGATTTTTTTTAAATTTTTTATAGAATTTTTTTTCTTGCAATTACTTATTGTAAAGAAAACGTAATAACTTTTAAACTAAGCGGTATATCCTGATAAAATAAAAACAGTAATAATGCTAAATAATAGGCAATACTAAAAAAATACATAAAATACACAAAAAAGGCCAACAAATAATAAAAAATGATACTTTTTGAAAAAAATCTGCTTAAAATTCGTGTTTTTTTTTGTTATTTGATAAATTTCTCCAAAAAATGCCCCTATAACCGGTGGCTTTTTTTACTTTGTATTATTCTCTATCGTATTACCTTTGTAAAACCAAAAATCGCATGTCTCTATCCCTATCACAACGTTTGCAATGATCGTTTGAACTAAGCCTCTCCGGGCGCGCCATTCAACGCTTCGTTAACAACAAAACTGAAAATGGCTCTAGATTTGTAATTTTGATAAAGACAAGTTAGATTTCAAATAAAAACAAAAGATTTTGAAGTAAAATAAGCATTTTAGTTAAAATTAAAATTGTCTCTACCTGAAGCGGAGAATAATGTTGTGGCAGGCCTTTGTTCAAACGATCATAGCAAATGTTGTGATAGCGATAGAGACATGCGATTTTTGGTTTTACAAAGATAATACGGTACAGAACAATAAAAAATAATAAAAACCACCGGTTATAGGGGCATTTTTTGGAGAATTTTATCAAATAACCAAAAAAACACGAATTTTTAAGCAGTTTTTTTTTTCAAAAAGTATCATTTTTTATTATTTGTTGGCCTTTTTTGTGTATTTTATGTATTTTTTTAGTATTGCCTGTTATTTAGCATTATTACTGTTTTTATTTTATCAGGATATACCGCTTAGTTTAAAAGTTATTACGTTTTCTTTACAATAAGTAATTGGAAGAAAAAAAATTCTATAAAAAAAATTAAAAAAATCTCAAAAATTTTTTGACCTCTTTTTTGTCGATAAAAACAGGTCTAGTTTCATCTGTTTTCATATGTACACTTTAACGTGACTCACACTGTATAGTCGTGGAGCTCAATAGTTATATTTTTTTACTGTCAGAAATTCAAATATCTTTGCTACTTGTTCAGAACTAGACTTGTCATCTCAGAGTAACTGATACTCTGATATATAAGGCAATAGACTCTCGCTTTGTGTCTGAATGGCGAGCAAATTGACTTCAATTTGTACAATGAATATTTGTGCTCCTTGCTCAATCTAGGACTTGCTTGTCAAAGCGGTTCCACAGTGTAGTTGGTGTTGACGGTTGGTCCAAATATTGGCGATATGCTGAAAAAAGACTGCACAAAAAAGGAATTGGCCCAAATGTTTGTTAACAGTATGTTTGGCCAGCATTTCCACCAATATTATGCTGATAAGAGATTGCACTAGAAGGAGGATATGCCACTTAACAAATCACAATACATTCCAATCAGATTTTTAATTACGACAAGTTAATTAGCATATTAAGTTACTATTCATTCAATAGAAGAAATAAATTCTACAGTGCATATCGTTCATTTGGAGCAATAAATAAATTCTATTCTTCTATTATATTCTGGAAGTAAGTCCCGACCAAGAGAGTCACCACTTGTTGATAAGTCCCTGAAAGCCTATTTAAGAACTTATCAGTGAAATGAAAAACAACTTTTTTTCACATACATAACATTCTCGTATTTTTGGCATAAAAGTCAAGCAACCTTTATTGTGTTAGTAGATGTGTTATAGCCATCTGAAACTCTTTATCGTACTGGTAAAATCATGAAAATATAAATTCATGCTCTGTAAGTTCGTACGTACTCTATGGCGCAGGATGGAATAATTTGAATTGATTTGCAGTGCAGCGCGGGCGCAGAGTAATTTATTTGATGCATTTGATGGTAGCTGGCAGTCAGTGTTTATGAGTAGGGAAGCAACATTCGTCATATTTACGAGTATTTATTGGGGCTTGTTACATAATTTTTTATTATTAACTTTCGGCTAAATTGTCATTAAGAACTCTAGACATGGAAATTATTAATTTGCTTATTGGACTAAATAAATAAAATAATTTCAAAGGCTAAAATATTTAGAATGGACTCAAAATCATGAGAGGTAAGTCCTCGTTTGCTAGTCTAACTAATCCAAAGAAGGAAAGTCCTTAGGGCATTAAATGCCTTGATGATCTTGATGTACGCTGAGCGGGTGCCTTTTTGTCAGAGGGGCACAAGCAGTTAATTGTCCACTTGTTTATTTCTCTCTGTTTGAATCTAGTTATGTCTTGCCTGCTTGTATACCTTTCTTGCAAATAAATAAAAAAGTTTTCTATTCTATTCTATTCTTTACGGGATTAGGATCTATCATGCACAAAATATTCCCCTCCAGCATGCTTGTAATTATTGTTTCAACTAGCGGCCACCTGCGACTTCGTACGCGTGGATCCCGTCCCGTTTCAGCACCTTTTGGGTGGAGTTTCGTAAAATCCGTTCTTAGTGAATACCTACGTTCTAAAAGGAACCCCCATGCAAAGTTTGAGACTTGTAGTTTCTGAGATTTCGTGATGAGTGAGTGAGTTAGTCAGTCAGTCAATCAGGGACGTTTCGCAATAGATTTAAGAACGACGTTTGTTGCAATACCTATGTGTTTGATGTTCGTTCGTTCGTTCGTTTCAGCCAAATGACGTCCACTGCTGGACAAAGGCCTCCCCCAAGGTTTTCCACAATGAACGGTCCTGCGCTGCCCGCATCCAGGCTCCTCCCGTGACCTTTACCAGATCGTCGGTCCACCTAGTAGGAGGCCTGCCCACGCTACGTCTTCCAGCCCGTGGTCGCCACTCGAGAACTTTCCTTTCCGAGTGTTTGATGTATGTTTGTCTATTTGTTGCAGTCAGAATGGGCTCCCTGCCTCGGGTCTCAGTGGCTACGGGTGCGCGTGCGGCGGTCCCGGCCGCGCCGCTGCCCAACCACCTCGCCAGACTGTCTGGCAGTGACAGGACCGCCTTGGTGTATGCAGGTAAATACAAGGAGTGACTTAGTCTACACTATGACACGACTTTTAGTCACGCCAGTGTCAGGTGATAGGTAGTGTGGCAGAGAGAAAGCTGACAAGACGAGACAAAGTGTCTCCAAGAGTGTGCGTGTGTCCGACACACGTGTGTCTAAGAGCGTTTAGCTTTCTACCCAACCACAGAACTGCCTTGGTGTATGCAGGTATATACCGATCTAGGAGACAATTGGAATAAACTGGTTTAGAGTGACTCTCTGTCGTGCTAGTATCAACAAAACGTCGGGGGTTATTTAATTTGATAGAGAGTGCGCTCTACCTTAGCATCTTGTCATACTGGATGGAAGTGACCGGACTGCCTTGGTGTATGCAGGACTATACCAGTCTCAAAATCAGGATATTTAGTCTCCACTACAAGAGTAGGACTCTCTAATTAACCAACAGCAAATGAAGAATTGCCTTAACTCCCCAAAGCTAGTCAGACAAGTTTAGGGGAGGCTTATACGTAGAATGAATGAAGTCTACGTTGATGGCGCGATTCTTTGTCATGCCATTATCACATACCTACACCTATTCAGTGACAACGATATACTCAATACAATATTTTATTAGAGTCTACTCATGAATGTACTCTTTCCATGTCAGTATCACAATATAGTAGAGACAAATCAGTTTGTCCCTGCAAAAAGTTATAAACTGACACTAAACACGCAACAAATTAGAAGAAAAATGAAATATTAGGAATTACTGCTTTATTACGTGGAATTAATTTGCATTCTGTCTAATTAGTGCCTTATTCTGATTGTTTATGACGCAACTAATTATAATTTTGCATTAAGATGAGCATCTTATAATGACCTAACCTTTGACAAATCGTCCCGATGACCTCGGGAATCTTTAGTGCAGTTTGATTGCACATTGTTAAGCACAATGATAGTCATTATTGCCCGTGTTAATAGAAACTGGCAATTTTATAAAGCATCATCATCGTCAGGTCATTTACTCGTAGTTAACATTGCAAGAACATCGCTTATGGCCGTTTCAGCCGAATGACGTCCACTGCTAGACAAAGGCCTCCCCCTAAGATTTCCATAACGAAAGGTCTTCCGCTGCCCGCATCCAGGCACTTCCCGCGACCTTCACCAGATCGTCGGTCCATCTAGTGGGGGGCCTGCCCTCACTACGTCTTCGCCCGTGGCCCGTGCAAGAACATGATCCTTTCCAATTTACTAGAGGCAAATTGAGCTGGTCAGACAGGTTGAGGAGACCTGACATTAGCATATTCCGTCCTTAGTTGCATCTTGCGGCACTCACAGGAAGAGTGGAAGTGGTCCTATTCTACTGTAATCGGACCACATGGCTATTCTTATCAGTAATGATAACTTCCTAAACAAATCTCTAGATAATTTTATTGCGGGTTCAATTTCCCCCGGGACAAATGTGGCTTCACTGATTACTTTTTATTGGCGGTTAAGCTGTAGATCCTGGCTACACAGGAGTTGCAGCGGTGAGAACGAGAGGTGGGAATAGTCTCGTAAATCTTTAAATACAAAGCCAAATCTTTATTTTTGTTAATCAGGTTTATTTTTTAGATTATTTTCTATTCTCTATTGGCGCGAACGTGTCAAAGCCTACTGCAATCATCGATTTACATCAGCAAATTATAACCACGAAGGCTAAACTAGTACTAAAAGATATAGTAATATAAATCTGATAATAGGTTGGAGGGTCGTAAAAAAATATGACCGTAATTTTGCTAAAAATAAGGAAGTCGATTTTTCAAAATGGCGCCTTGAAGTCTTGGATGCGAGATCGATTCCTAGACGACCTCTCATAAATTGGGCAACTAATAATTAACAACAATCAATAAAAGCTATAAACAATAAGTACTATGCACAAAATATAAGCCTAGAACCTTGCTTGTCCACCCACAAGGGAACAGACGACCTAATATAGGTAGCAGGAAGGCGCTGGATTCAGGCCGCTACCAACCGTCCAATCTGGAATTCATTGGGAGAGACCTAATAACTATTTAGAACAGAGTTCAACTACTTATAGACTGCACATTCTGGAAGATGTCTAGATGGGCAACTTTGGTGAGATCTCTCAAATGCCACTTATTTTCCAGATGAAACCTGCAACGTTCGAGTCAGCTACGCCGAAATGGCGGCCAGAACGAACACCCTGGCTAGAGCCATCGCAGCACGCGCCAGGACCACTGGAGCGAACAGGGATGGAGACTATGTCATAGCTGTGTGCATGCAGCCGACGCACAAGTAAGAATGTTTGAAACAGATGAGAGTTTAATTACATAGATAGATAGATAGATAGAAATAAAGATAGAAAAACATTATTGACACAACACAACGAGAAGAGAGCCACTGCGCCAATAGGCTCCCCTCAGCATATATGACATGCCCTTACGAGCATGTATTCCGCGGGCGCCCTTGCTATAGACTCGAGTTCGCTATCCCTCAGAAGGGTGCGCAATGCAGGGAAATACCGTAACACACCACCATCTTACAAAACACACATGCATTTTTAAACAATTACTTTTACAGTCATATTATTATCTGTCTCTAGCTTTGCAACGGAGGGAAGTTGATATAATACTTCGAACTCCTCCCATTGCAGGTTCTTAAGACAGTTCGCTATCCCTGTGGACTACTCAACCTTCACTGGTTGGGTTTCCTTGGGAAGGCTACCAAGCTGTAGATCCTGGATAAACAGGAGTTGCAGTGGTGGGAAGTTAAGGGGACCCGAGTTGGAATAAGTCCTGTTAGACGTAGCGAAGCGAGAAATGGAATATACCATTTTCAAGATAGAGACCCAAGCTAAGAGGTTTAGACTAGCAATAAAACTCGCAGAAGTTGACTTCCGCAAGCTGTCACCACTATGTAAATCTTGCAGAAGTTGGCTTGCCACAGCTACATATTTTCAGAGTGTGAACAGTTTGCGGAAGTCAACTTCTGCAAGTTTTATTGCTAGTTTAAACCTCGCATAAGATCTTGTCATCATTTGCCCAAGCTATACAAGAATATCCTTCAATAATTGTAATTCTTTCCAGCACAATCCTGGCTCTGCTGGGCACATGGAAGGCTGGAGCAGCATACGTGCCAATGGAGCCCACCTTCCCGCAGGCGAGGATATCGCACATCCTAAAGGATGCTGAGCCGTCCTTAATTATTTACGATGACACAGGTAAGCTCAGTTAATAAAGAGTAAAAAGTTAAAAAGTAGGGTAATTTTTTTGTCACCGCATGATGAAGTTGGTTTTATGTAGGTACATTTATTGAGCCTAGGCGCAGACCACCGACTTTGTAATTTGATGCAACTCAGCCTTGAATTCTTATCCACAAACAACCGGTGCAACTTAAATTATTTAATCACGCCTTGGGAGATACACGCGAAGGAAGAATAATATGCCAAAATAATTTAATGAAACATGTGTATTAAAATTTATACAATTGGGAGAGTTGAATTATAATTATAATGTCCTACTTACTTTGAGGCTAAATGGCGCTCCAAAAAGATGTTATAATATAAAAAATGATGACATAGATACGAGTATTAATTTATGGATGTAATTATATTTAAAGCACTTTAATTAAATGATATATTTGCTCAGATATAATATACGTTGGTAAATATCCATAAGCCAAGTGACTAAATTAACGACTCTACATTCTACCATTACTACTATTTCTCTCACCTACTCTGATACGTATACGGGACTATTCCCGCCTCTCGTTCCCACCACTGCTACCCTGTGAAGCCAGGATCTACAACTTGACCGCCAATAAACACCTAACCAGTGAGGTGCGGGTCCACAACGAAATACGTATGCACATCGCACACGTCCTGAAACCTCACTCAGTGCTCATTTTTGTAGGGATTTTAATACAGTCTTTTAATTATATGCCCTTTTTACAGCCAACCCCTCAATGTTCTCCGCAAGCGGCATTCCAGCAGTCTCCTTCGAAGAGCTGGCGATCGAAGCCAGCGGGATGTCGGCTGATGACGTCAGAGATGCAGAGACTCTGTCACACCCTCGGGTGGAGAGCATCGCGATCGTGCTGTACACTTCTGGCAGCACTGGCATTCCTAAAGGTAGGTGTTGGTTTGGTCCGACGAAAGATAGGATAGGCATCATATATCATCTTACGTGAGGAGAGTCCTTGAGGAATTCAAAATTCCTGTGAGAACCTGGCCTAATTTAGAGTGTTTTAATTCATATTGTGATGTACCAATTCCTATAGAATAAAATGGTTGTGTTGGTATGGTTTGAAAAAACAGAAACAGAAGAAGTAAACTCTGTATTTTAAGCTGGAAAATTTGATGAGTCCTTAATTACTACAGCTCTTAGGGATGGGTCAGCTCTATGAATAAGTCTAAACACTTTACCAACAGCGATAGAAGCTAAAAAATTTCATGTTTTCCACAGGTGTTCGTCTGCCCTATTCAGCAATCTGCAATCGTCTCTGGTGGCAGTTCCGCACGTTTCCCTTTTCCTCCACTGAAGTGAACTGCGTTTGGAAGACGGCTCTGACCTTCGTAGACTCTGTCTGTGAAATCTGGGGTCCTCTATTGCATGGGAGAACCTTGGTCATTCTCTCTAGGGAGATGACCAGAGACCCTCAGAAGCTGGTGCGGATCTTAAGCGAGAATCAGGTTAGTAGAACAAATTAAGGAGAATACATAATTTTTTATTTCAACTTTTTTTACACTGAAAAGTAGGTAGTACAGCTGATAACAGCTGAAGGAGTAAATGTCTAGCATTATCTATCAGTCAAGCTTGAGGCTTAAAGAAGGTAAACTTAGAACTATCTAAGGCTATGGTTGGTAATATTAATGTTTAATTTCAGGTCCAAAGACTAGTTCTAGTGCCAACACTTCTTCGTTCCATCCTCATGTATCTGTCCCTAAACCCATCGGAACGCCCGCTCCAACTCCTCAAACTTTGGGTATGCTCTGGAGAAACCCTTAGCAAGGAATTGGCTCTGAAGTTCTTCCAGTATTTTGGAGACCACGAAGGATACAAACTGGCGAACTTCTACGGAAGTACTGAGGTCATGGGTGATGTGACATTCTATGTGCTGGAAAAGAGCGGGCAACTGGATGTACATCCTACGATACCAATTGGTAAGTGCAATTTTGGTTTGCATTCTGGTGTGGGTAAAGAACAAAGCACACTTATCAACCCGGAAACGGATCGTCACCGCATCAACTCGACGCAGTCAGAATTCTTTGTATGAAAATCCATACTGCAATGTAACGCACACTTATCCGCACTGTAACGCCAACGCCTCGCTTCGTTTGGTTGAAAGGCGATTCGGTGTTTAATCCCTGTCCGGGTTGATAAGTGTTCTATGACCTTTATCACCTCAAAATGTTAGTCAAATGGATGATTCACCAGATCAGTGTAGATGATTGTTATCAATAGTATTCTCCTCGGTTATTTAAAAGATCTCCTTGACATTTCCTTGAAAATATCTTCAGTCAGATTCACAAAAAATATCTTTTTAGGTGCACCATTGGACAACTGTGCTGTATACCTCTTGGACGAAGAAATGAACCCAGCCCGTGAGTCGGAACCTGGAGAAGTGTGGGTGGCCGGTCACAACCTCGCCGCTGGCTATGTAGGCGCCCAAGGAGCTGATAAGTTCTGTGATAACCCACATGCTCAGCATCCAGGTTAGTAGCCTAGATCTAGTGGAAAAGGTACATCTTTGACGTGAATATTCGTGGCACAACTCTATTAGAAAGAATCGTTTTAGGAACACCTACCTTGGTAGCTAGTCTTAGGATATTTACTGATCGTCCTACCAAAGATCGTGAGCGCTGAAAAAGTTTGATATCTAGACACGCGGTAGCGGGTCAAACTAAGTTCAAGTAACAGAACTGGCAAGCAGCACCGTCCTTCTTTCTTCAAAGGACCAAGTAGGTAGGTTTCAGTCCACGCACGATCAATACAAATTCTAGGTAATTTCAACGAAAGCTATCGTTGGTTTTCAAACAATCTTAGAAGTGTTTTGGGGTATTCTACTTACTCTCTATTATTTTCTAGCTGTTACATATTTGATTGATTTTTCTCTTTCAGACTTCAGCCGTCTGTACCGCACTGGTGACTTCGGAGTCCTTCAAAAGGGGGTTATTCTGTACGCTGGCCGTACTGACTCTCAAGTGAAGATTAGAGGACACAGGGTCGACCTACAGGAGATTGACAGAGCTGTTGCTGCTGTTCAAGGGATTGATAAATGTAAGTTATAGGTTGGGAGAAGGAATACGAGTAGAATTAGATCAGATATTTTTTATTGCGCACCACAGAAACAGCATACATAATTTAGACGGTCTCGTGAAAAAATGAGCCAAGATCCACCACCATTACTTTTTGTCTTTGACTGTCTCCAGGCGTGGTCCTCTGCTACGGGCTGGAGCGCGGCAACCCTGAGATCCTGGCCTTCGTCACAGTACAACCAGAAGCAAGACTGGGCGCTCACCATATTGAGTCCAAGCTGAAGAACGCGCTTACACACTACATGATACCTCAGGTCAGTTACTTGTTCCTTGAACTGAAACCCTTGCAAAAAAACACTTATCCTCCCATTACAAGGTAGTATTAAAGGTGCAAGGCATGCACTTCATCAGCTAATACATTTCCAAGTTCGTAATGGATGTTTTGTTGTAGGTGATCGTGATTGACAGCATTCCTTTGCTAGTAAATGGAAAAGTAGACCGCCAAGCCCTTCTGAAGATGTACGAGAACACAAACAATAATGGTAAGTCTCTTTGCAAATAGTAGCACAGTAGTTAGTAGAGTAGGTATAATGTTCATGGTCAAACTAGATACAAGACTTGCAACAATGAGGACCATTAAAGAGACTCATTGGATTTCATTGGATCGGAAGTGGCCAAACTTACTGTCAGGTCGCAAATTACCATTAAGACCTCTGACTAGCCTTAACGACTACTACCAACATGATGTTTCAACGTGCCTTCCTGAGCACTTGTGATAAATTACCATATGCTCGGATTCGTCACTCATCATTTACCGACCGTGGCGTAGCTTGCTTAATCTTTGGAAATCGCCCCCAAAATACTGTCGCCACTGAACTACAAACCTTTCCTACAGGTTTAAATGATAATCTTCTTTGCAGACGACTCCACAATTCCTCTAGAGATAGACTACACGGGAGTAGCCCCTGAACACATGGAAGCAGCCAGGGTGCTCTTCGAGACGGTGGGCGAAGTCCTAGGTCGCTCCGTCAGGGGTGCTGTTAGCGTGCGAGCTGGCTTCTATGAATTGGGCGGGAACTCACTTAACTCCATCTATACTATTACGAGGTTGAGGGACAAGGGGTACTATATTGGTAAGTGAGGCTTCTGTCTATGTATCTCTGTTTTAGTCAGTGATACCAGCATATCACTTAAGAGAACAGAATGTGCGTAACAATGGTCCGGACTGTGTCTTCTGTTAATGCAAACCCAATAAACCAAAATTACTTTAGACATCTCGATCTAGGAGATGTGTTAAGATTTGTAGAGGACTTTCTGAGGGACCAATCAAAATCAAAATCAAAATCAAAATCAAAATCAAAAAATATTTATTCAGTTTAGACCACAAGTGGCACTTATGAACGTCAATAGAAAATAATAAAAAAAAGAAAAGGTAGCCCTTATGGGGCACTTTACATGTCTCCTTATCTTTTGGGCCCTACCAGCGCTTCGAGACAAACATATGAGATAAACAATGAGGTGAGAGGAGGAAAGTCATAAAGGATTCCAAAATCGTGACGGTTTGAAGTGCACTATGCGTATTATAATAGATACGCCAGTAGAATAGAAGAAAGATAATTGAAAGATGGAAGGGTAAATAAATACGTAGATCAGAACGGTAAATGCGAGTAAAACGTATGTGACTGCTTTGCCAATTGCCATTACTGCATTCAACCCTTAAGTTGTTCCCACTAACCGAGTTTACCCCTTATTTATCGTAAGTACTTCTTTCTCTACAGAAATCAGCGACTTCCTCAGCGCAGCGAACCTCGGCGAGGTGCTGTCACATCTCACGACCAGCCCCGACAGCGCTGCGGAGAGCCAGGAGCCCAAGTTCGGCGTGGAGCTGATCAAGGAGGAAGATGAGCAGAAGGTTATTGAGTAAGTGATTTTAAAAGACTACATTTTTGTATCTTTTGGATATCGCGACGGGATAGACGAAAATAAATCAGAATAAAGTGTAACCTAGGCTACACTTATTGCTTTTTTTTCCAGTAAACGAACAGACATGACATATCAATACTTTTTCAATAGTAATGTAATTTTTTTTATTCGAATATCTTCGTCCTAAATTCACTCATCACAAAAGGTAGGTATCATTCATTACGGACTCTTATGATCTATATGTATGTACCTAACTAATGGGTGTTTTCTAAGCAGAATAACATCAAAATAGAGCAGTCTATGTATCAAGACATAAGTAAAACCTATTCTGATTCTGATTACCTAGGATTTGGTTCAATAGTCCAGTGGACAACGAGGATCGAAATAGCATTCCTCGAATGTCGAAACGACAATTAGACGCCAACACTGATGGGCTAATATCGTCTTTAAGTTTATTTAGCGACTACAAAATATGTGCATATTGTCCACAGCATGATAGTGTCTTCGTTCTACGAGAAGGCAGAGTTAGAAGAATTCCTACGACACGAGATCGCGACGAGCGATTACGCGCACTGCGTCCACGCGTGCTGGCCGGCGTTGCTGCGCGCGCGCCTTAGCGTCGTGCTGAAGGATTGTGAGTCTTTTAATACAACAACATAGAGTCTATTTTCACTATTGTACCGATATTTGAAGTCCTGCTGAAGGATTGTGAATCTTATTACAAGCATATCTAGAGACTATCGCCATTATTGCACTTTAGGTTCCTAAAGTGTAAGTATGGCTCTAAACTACAATTTTGGGTTCGTCTCGAAATTGAATAAAAAACTGGGCACCATCAGACGATTGAGATTGATTGAAGTACGCCACTCAAATCAATGGGTGGGGGAGGCTTATGTTCAGCAGTGAACGTACGTCCTGTATCTGGAAATCTTGATGATGACGAATATGAAATATCATAAGATTGACCTGCTAGGCTAAACCTACATCATTTTAGGTTGTAAGTGTAATAAACTTTACCAAACTACAATCCTTAATCTCCTTACAGCAACCGGCAACCCAGTAGCAGTAGCACTCAACTTCGATGCTCGGGATGAGCCTGAAATTGAACTGGCTGGTGGTCTGGCCAAGATCATGGCTTTCTTGGAGTACGTAGAGGGATCTGTGAGGGACACCATGCTGCCTGAAGGGAAAGGTAAGAGGACTAATGATGACTTTTTCATTTGGGACGTCTTTTTTTTTGTGATACGAGGGTTAGGTAAACTTTAGTGGACTCTCCAAGATCATGGTTTTCTTAGAGTACGTGAAGGGCTCCATGACGGACATCATGCTTCCTGAAGGCCAGAGGGCTGATGATGACTTTGACATTTACCTCGACTATGATAAAAGATATGAAAAAGCCAAGATCGCCTTCTAGGAGTAACATAATTATATCGAAGACTTTGTAAGAGATACCATTTTGTTTGAAGGAAGGATCTAAATAGTTAAAGTTAAGACTTGCCTGAGCAAGTTAGCTATTAATTGGTGAGTAAGATGATATCTGGCTAACTGAAGAAATTGGAAATACATCCTCATAGTAGTTAACTGGCTTCTTTCCACCTCGCGTTGCCCTCTGCTGCGGAAGCTCCCAGGGAAAGCTTAGCCGCTAGTTTTTAAGGTACCCCTATGAAAACAAAATTCCTGTTATATGTTACCATAGGTGTCACTTATAAATTAGGGGTTGATGGTGAAAACGGGCATTGAGGTCCTAATATGTCCCCTAGATGGGGCAGAGGGCGTCCACAACAGTCCTCCATCGCGTTCGGTCTTGACCTTAGCATTCAATCTCGCTAGTGGACTAACAATGAAATAAATCTCACGAAAAAATATTCTATCTTCATTTTAACCACTTGCTCATCTTCACAGGCGCCATTCTCCACTCATTTATGATGGCGACCGACGCCAACCTAAGTCCTCGTGACAACGTGGCGGCTATCAGGGCTCTCGAACACGCCACCATCCGTATAGCAAGGGAGAGACGGTTCAAGGGTGTCTTCACTACTAATACCAGTCCATTGACTCAGGTAAGCTATGGCCATTAAGCTTTTAATTATGTCTTCGAGAAAACGCAACCTCAAAATCCTACTACTTAGTGGCAAATTAAGGATTTGGCCTACACTCCCCACGCTGGCTAGACCGGTTGGGTAGGTCTAAAATAATCTGAACATCATCAGCTTTAAATACGAGTAAAGCGTCAATTTTTTGGACTGACTGAAAGCGTCAACCATGCTTATAGTCATGGCATCAGGGTTTAAAATTATGATCCTTATTATTATCTTCGAATAACAATCGTACAATCAGAATCAATCTTTCTCAATCAGGAACAATCTTTCAGGTCTTTGAAACACTAGAATTTACACTTTCGGACCGGCCAGACCTTTTTCCTGTTTAACAACCACTATTAACTGATAATTTATTATTTTTTCTACAGCAACTAGGCACCGACGTGCTTGGCTTCCAGACCTTACTCGATTATCAGATCAACCAGTACGTAGACGCAAATGGAGAGAGGCCATTCGGCAAAGCTGGCGACGAGATGAGAGCCATCGTCTGCTGGAAACCTGTAGACTGAGTCACCAATCAACCTTAAAGCCCAGTGTTTAGACAGGAGAGTAAAGGTCATAGCAGATTTATCGACTTGAAAAGGGATCAACTCAGCCGCGCTGTTAACTGCGAGTAGGCGAGGCGTTGACCTTCGGTGCGGATAATAGTGTGCGTTGCAGTATGGAGTTTCATACAAAGAATATTGACTGCCTCGAATTGATGCGGTTACGATCCGTTTCCGGGTTGATAAGTGTGCTACGTCCTTAACGCGTATAGATTTAAAAGAAAAGCAATGGAGAAGATACTGTTGTATTATAGGTATTTTTATTTGGATAAAGTGTCAAGAAGATGTAGCAAAAGTTTAAAACAAGCTACCTATGCAGGACCTCTATAAGTAATTTAAGTTAGATTTTTAAACAATTCAAGCGAGATAATATTATGTAGGTCTTTACTACATAGGTATTTAAGTTGTAAGTTTAAGTTTTATTCGAAACTGCGTAGGTTTAAGTACCTATTAGGATATAAACTGTTTGTATCATTTTCTGCATACATTTATGCGCGTTTCAAGTTCAAATGTAACAGTAAACTGTCATTGGGTATTTTATGTAACTGTACACTCAAAAAAAATAATTTTTGATTAAAATAGATTAAACAAGAATCAAGCTTACTGCACTACAACTTACCTGTTGACCTTTAAACTCGTTTTACAATAATCTAAAAATAGTTTAGTCAGGAAAATGTTTAATAGTAATTCCAAACCAGTGTTATACCTAGTTCTACCTAATTTTAATAAAGAAGTAGGTACCTATGTGTATAAAAATATACGTAAGGTACAACCTAATAATGCATAATTTTATCTCTGTCTAAAAAGTTTAAAAAACTGTTTGCACTTTGTTTGTAGAGTAAGTGAATGAGTAAGAATATTTATTATGCTCTCTTTTTCCTTTTTTATAATGCCAGTGATGTTTTCTTATTTAATTCTTAGTTTTAGTATTATGTTTAACTGATTGATGTATTTGTATATCAAATATTTAGATAGCGTATTACGGTTGTAACAGCTGCTATGTTTCAACGAAAATGTAGAGTCTAATTAATATGTTGACGACTGACATATTTGCAAGTTTACCCAGATAATACTTATTTCAATATACAATAAAATATTAATGTAATATTAACATAATATCCTCAAGCCAGTGCAATGTTTAACAAAATTACTTGTATGTAAATACCTATCTATTTACTTATTTGGTAATAATATTCGCAATATTTTGAGCTAGAAAACCTTCCTACACCTATAATGTGATATTTACAATATTAATTTAAGTAATTAATTAGTAAGTAGTAGTTATTTGATAAGTATTTTTTAAGATAATAATAATAACATTTGCCTACTTGCCGTAGAAATAAGATAAGCTTTAAAATATTTATAGTTGAAGTTATTGTTTATTTTACTTTATGTGAACTATTAATAATGTCAAAATTATTATATTACTAAAGAGATAGTTTTTAAACATAAATTAATATGTACCTATACTAGATCTCTGTGTTATAGCTATAGTTTTAAAATGTTTTTTGAGCTATGGATTTAGTTTTAGTAATATTTTCCTATATTACGACACCTTAAAATTAAATAATAAGTACAACGAAGTGTACAAATGGATTGCCGGCATAAGAATGGCGAAAAATTGTATGCCAGCATTTTAAATTATTACAATATTTTTAGTAAGTGAGTACTCTGCTACCATTTAAAATTGAAACTAAATTTTATGTAAGCCAGTGAATGCATGTATTTACAAGAATAAAATGTATTACTGCTAAAATGTTTGTATTTTTATCATTTACTAGCTGACCCGGCGAACTTTGTTCCGCCTTAATGACAATAAATAAGCAGACTTTTTTTTGTTTCGAACGGGATAAAAAGTATCCTATGTCCTTCTCCTGGCTCTAAACTACCTCCCTGACAATTTTCAGCTAAATCGGTTCAGCCGTTCTCGAGTTATAAGCGAAGTAACTAACACGACTTTCTTTTATACAATATATAGATTTATATTAATTCTCAGTGCAAATAAGGTAGTCTACCAGTCATAGATATACAGAATAATAATAATGTACTGGTAGTAGGGTAAGAACATAGTAAAGAGTAAAAAATAAATAAGAAACAGGTGTGCTGTTTGGATATGTATTTTATTGCATTAAAATTGAAACATTAATTATTACCACATTTATGTAATATTTGACTATAAAAATTGACTAAGTAAATAACAATAAATGCATATTATTATTGTAATATAAAACATTTATAACAAAGAACTTATTAAAACCGTCAAAAATAATTTATTAAATGTAACAATGTAAATTCCTTTATAATAATCTAAAACTTTAGTTAATTATACATTATTTTTAAAATATAAATCATCAAAAATCTGTTTTAATAAAGTAAACTCAATAAAATTAATTTTATTCTTTTCAACTTTGCCCACTTCCGGTGATTTCGAGAGTCAAAGTCAAATTGACAATTTATTAGTAAAAAAATACTAAGTATTATACCTATACCTTAATGTTAATAAATACTTATTCTATTAACTATTTTCTAATTCGACTAGAACAAACAGCAGACTGATGCTAAGATATTAAAATATTTTCATCAACATGACATTGTAGATTTTAGGATAGTGGTACACTAGGTGCATTATCTGCAGTTCGATAAAATTCATTAAACTTTTAGAACATCAATTTACTAAAAATCGACACTATTATTGTAACATTGAATAGACATCGATCTACGTTAATAGTTAGTATGAACTAAAATTAGGTTTAATTTAGTAAATGTATTACATAGTTTGTTAGCTAATCACTTGTTAAAGGCTACTAAACACATTCTTTATCAATTTAGATTCGAAAAAGTCGCATCATAAATATCGAGATTTATAGTTTTACTTTGAAGTACGAGCAAAGCGAAGCTTTCGAATCTAAAACGAATAAAATAGTCTACAGACACAGAACTAAGTAAGTATAATATTGTCAATCTACCAGTAATACGGTGCCATATTTAAGATAAGTTTTCCAAATCATTTTGATATGAAATGGATGCAGAATTTATCCGTGTTTGAAATTGCTGTTGTCGTCTTTCACTGTCGGTGCCAGAATCTATCCTGTGCCCTGAGCACGAATAAATATCGTTCTTGTTATGGTAAGGTAATCGTTTTTTTTTAATTAAAATGGCGTCGTTACCTTTATGCAAGGAGTACGATTATTAAATGCGATGCAAGAGTTATTCGTGCTCAGGATTTGTTGTAACCATGTTATCCCGTCTAACAAAACCACGTCTTGACTGGCGGCTGGCCGTCAACGGAGACCTCATGTCAAATCGGGCCAGCGATCCCAAACTTAGTCAGGTCTGGTACATCAATATCATCTAGATTCTTCATTGACACGTATCCATCAGTCTTGATCGGCACGTAGTCGTCAGTCCCATCATTGAAGTCAACGATTGGTTCTTTAATCAGGTTGAGGTTGTCGAAGTCATTGGCGATGTTAGCGTCATTCAGTAGTTTTAAAGATTCTTCCAAAGCAAGATGAGTGCGGTGTTCAGGAGTGTGGCTGGTTGGAGGAGTTTTATCGATGTTAGCTGAGCGGCGGTTGTGAAGGGAATTGGTGTTGGAGCCCATGTATGGCGGCGGTTGCGGGCGGTTGTAGTTTCCAGCCAGGTTGGTGGTGGAGCGAGGGCTGTAAGGCCTGACCAGGCTGTTGTTGGGGCTATGAATAAAATTGAAAAGTGATATTTATGTTACCTTTACTTCACTATCGTATTGGGTTTATCTTGTCATGGCAGTAAAATGTTGTAAATAAACTAAGGTTCTGGTACACTTGCGTGAATCCACATGCGCGAAAAGACATTAGCACGAATGGATATTTGCCCGAACGATATTTTTGGGTAAATCATTCGCAATACTTTTATCTGCTTCGCACAAGTGTCTTACGCGCAAATGTCTTTCATGCAAGTGTCCTGACTGATATAATTGTCATGGAGTAATTGAAAAAATTATTGAGGACTTACCTAACGCCTAGACTTTTGTTGCTGGTGTTATCCGCGACTTGTGTTTGATCTGTGTTGCCCGTGCCATACCGACAGATTTCCACTTTACTATTTTTGTGAGCTCTGAAAATTCGTAAATTAATATTTTTTAGTCTAACATCAATTTAAAAACATATTACTAGGTACGTGAACAGACAATGATGTCATGGATTAATTTCCCAATGCATGCGAACAAACAATAAATATTGGATTATTTATTTAGAGGCTATAAATAACATTAATAACATAACTTGAATGTACAGAATTTACCTACTACACTTCGTAAAAAATCCAATTATAATTCACAAGTTGTTACTGTGTTAGTAATTACAAATATTACGAGTACACAACAAACAAAATTCAGGTTAATAATTAGATTATTTAGTAATGTAAGTCACGCAAAGTATTTCATGATACGAAATAATACCTCTTTCTATTTCTATAGTCAATGCACACGTGGAAAATGTTTTCTAGAAAATATTCTGACTCAGGATCTCGGCTGAAAATAATGGAAACCAAAAATAAAATAAAACGTAATTCCGGTGGTACCTGAGTACCTACCTAAACAAACAGTAATTGGGCATAAGATTATAATCGTGCACGATGATGCACATAATAATTAAGGTCAACTAGTAGAGAATGCCATAATATGGCATTAGGTTCGCTTTTTGTACTTACTTCAAATTTTGTGTGAAATAAAGTTTTATAATGTGTGGTTTCCCTGATAAAAACAATCGTTCAAAGTTGACTATCGAAGTTTGTACGAGAAAACACTTTATGGTAATATTTCATAGGCGTTGTATACTTACACAGCCGCATACTGGAAGAACAAGACGCCAGTTAACGTAGCGACCGAAAGCACCAGCATCGCCAGCGGAACAGCCATGGCCAGTGCCAACTGTCCCGTGTAGTTTCGTTTAGGCAGCGATCGCTTGCTGGGAGCAGTCCACGCGTCGTTGGTTGACAGCGCTTTAAAAGACTTTGCTGACTTGCTATTGTTGGGCAACTCGGTCAGGTATTCGAGGTGCTCGGTGGTCCGGTCTTTGTAGATTGTGTTGTACTGGAATGAAATTTGTTTTATGCATAGTTGACTGGCAGATAATGCCACCTGGCATTAAGTCCGCCACTGTACAATTGTATGTGCAAAAGTGTAAATAAATAAATAAATTAATAAATAAATAGATGAAATTTTCTTCCATCGTTTAGGTTTGATAACTGAGGTGACTGAGGACCTATGATGGTGGCAGCGTTAAAGATCTCAATAATATTAATATCTATTTGCTGTAGCTTGAAATCAAAATATAAAATTAACTGTGATTATTATTAGTGGTAGTGCAGGGCCGGTCTTTGTGGAAATCCTTGGGGGAGGCCTTTGTCCTAGACTGGATGTCATTTGGCTGAAACGAACTAATATTGATTAATCCCAAAACTCACCAGCTCAAAGTTGCACCAGTCCAGAGTGAAGCCAGCATCCCTGAACAGTCTCTCGGATGTCGTTCGCTTGTACTCCCTCGGGCAGCTGGGAAGGCGAGATAGAGGGCGAACCTCCTCTCTCAGCCACTTGAGTTGAGTGGAGAAAGGCATTGAGCTGCCTAGACGAACCACTAACCTGTAAAAATATGTTAGCTATTAATATCTCAGAGGTTAAACCCTGGTAGATCTGGAGACATGTTTTATCAGCAGCAGTGTAGAAGCATAGTCTTTAAGTATTACTTGATATTTTACATTTATTTGCTCGTAAGTTCGTAACTTTAACTACTTACTTAATTTCTATCAAGAAAAAATAGGTTTTATTGGAAAAAAGGTGACTTTTTAGCTATTGCGAGACATAAAAAAGGAATTTCAATTCATTACCCTTCACCATCGCTGGGTCGCAGCGGCAATCGAGCCCCTAAATCGATGGCTGAAGCCAGAAACGTCGTGTAGAGGTCTTGGCTGCTTTCTGTCCAGAGCCTGGTCTTCAGGATGTCCTTGAGACGAGTCATCCTGAAAATATTTAGAAAGTTTTAGCGGAAATCTCTTAAAAAAACTGAATCAGGTGGGTAATTTATTACGCACTGGACCTACCTGTGATCATCCAGTAAATCTTCCACATTCAGATTGTCGATCTTCAGTTCAACTTCATGTCGCGCCATGCTTTCCTTCGGCTGTACTTTGATGGATAACAGAACTCTTCGAGTTTCATAATCTTGACGATTTAGGCCTATGACTTCCAACTGCAAACAAAATTAACATAGTTAAATAATCCTATTACGACAATTCCTATCTTCTTTGTTCTGTAGTTGCGGCATATGACGTATTTTTTAACGATTTAGTATTCTATTCGCATACGAAATCGTTTAAATTGCATACAAGTTGCTACCTGTGTAATTTTAGGCCAATTTGTATGCGATTTGGAATTTTAATGAATAAAAATTATCTTCCTGATGTCAGTCTAATCGTGAAGATCGGACTGACTATAAATTTTATTAAACGTTTATTTTAAAGTCCATTTTATATGTATTCAGTATAAATTACAATAAAACACGTGTAGCTATTTAAAAATAAAGTTTAAGGTAAAGAAATTCGAAATAAATAATAAATTGTCTTGGTGTATCCCCATCCTAACTTTCGAATTATTGACATTTGCTACCAACATGACAAAAAAAACAATTTCCTGTAATTTGAAAATAATTAGGCATTGATACTTTACGGTTATCGGTTTGTTGGTCCCTCGAGGTGGAGTTCCGAATATGAATCCCGAGTGGTGTCTTCCACTGTAGATGTAACGAAGCCATGACGGTAACTCAGGTTTCCCGCGCATTGCTGCATGAAAACGGTACTGCTGGTCGAATTCTAGAAAATGACGCAAAATAATAATAAACTATTTTACAATAGAATGGTCCTACTTTAATATTTATATTAAGTAGTTAACGAATTTGCGTAATTGGATAGTTGTTATACTATAGTTTATTTAAAAACATAACCCTCCTTCTGGCGCAGTCGGGTAAAAAATAAATGAGCACAAACCTTGATAAGTCCAGTTAAACAGATTGGGGCTGATGGGGATCGCAAACATTTCTGTTTCAACAGCATTGTGAACGTGCGTCGACGCTGTTGCTGACGCTACTATCAATAACGTTAAAAACGTATCATTCCCCATTTCGGTAACCTGAAAAAAAAACAAAAGAATTCGGTTAATTTTCCAACTTTTTTTAAATCCTTAAAAAAAGTAAATAAGGGAAGTTACGTCGCTAGTTTTTCAGTTTTCAGCGGCCAGTCTTACCTACATAGTCTGCTAATGGTCAGTATTTAGTAACGAACGGCTCACGTCAAAAGCACTGGTACTAAATAAAAAGATGCCGACCCAATTCACCAACAGAAACAATTAAATCGATTTCTATTTTAGCTGTATACAAAAAGGCTACTGGCTGAATACGGTCCGCACATGTGCAGTACGAACGCCCCACGGATGCACAGGGAGGGATTCACAGCGCAGGCGTGCCTTCGGTTATTGATTTTTCAGACTTTAGTACCCATCTAGCTAGATGCATAGAGTTATTTATAGATCTATTTTTCCAAACAATTGATAGTAGAAAACATTAAGCCCCTGACACTAAATACGACACCATTATACTGCCTAGAAAACGATTGCAGTAAATTTTTGTTACAACTTTTATTTAGTTCTTGTCAAAGAACTTTATAATAATGTGCTATATTATAATTTGTGCAATTTTGACTTCAAACTGGGCTTAATTCGGGAAGAGCATAGTTTATTTATGGCAACTAATATTAACAAAATCCGGAACTTTCTTAGAAATACAAACAACGACATAAATAAACTGAATACTAACATTCATGATGATAGCTTCAGATTAATGATGCTATATTTATTCACTGTGATCACTATTCGATGCCAAGACGAAAAACAAAAAATATAACATCTTAGTTACGTTAAACTTCCGTGTACGTTAAAAATAAGCAAGTCCGTCCCTGAAAACGGGGCGTGACGTAAATCCTGAACCGACGTCATTGGTTATAACCCGACCAAATTAGGATGTTTCTGTAAAAAGAAAATTACGTTCCGTTACACGGAAAAGCTGATTTATAATTGTATAGCTTTTTAAGTTTTATGCAAAACACTCAGAATAGATAATGTATTTGTCGATAATATTGAATGCATCAATATACTATTACACATTTTATATGCATAAATGAAAAATCACTCCAATTTCACTGAAGTTTTAAAAAAAATCATACTCATGAAGCTAAAGATAAAAATGGAGGCCAGACTTAGAATACCTACTTGAAGCACAACCTATGTATCACTATCTCGCTCTCTGTGGGCAGGCTCTCTCTTTCTAAGTAGGGTAACCTTTTATTTATTTTTCTCAGGACGACAAAGACTGATTTACGTTTAAACAGTGTGTCTTGATAAAGTGCACTTAATNATTTTGCAGCGGCTGACAGATTTCATAATTTTCTTTGACAGGTGACAGTTAAACCATAGACAATTGCCATATGAAAAACACGCTTTTCCAATATTTTTGTTTGCCATGAGATTCTGGTACACCTATAACAATGATCCACTGTCAGAAATCACGAAATAAACACTTACGCGTGGAATTTTATATCACTTCCAGGACAACACGAACTACCGCAACCACGCACTATACAAATTTGCACCATTTCTTCAGACAAAACAATGATAAGGTCCCTTGAAAAATCTCAAACGAAATCAACTGCATAGTAAACAACCGCCATGATGGGCCGGATTCGGCCGATGTAGCCACAGTACCGATACCTCAGAACTTCGGAATTGTAATTCCCTGATNCAACGTACCTACCTGGACTTTCATTTCATTTATCACCTACGTTCACCCATCGACCTACATCGCCTACAGTGTTGAGGAAATGGGAGCCTCATTGGGAAGACGAAAAGGGTTTTAATGTATGAGTTAATGATCTTACATTAGTCATTTTAGAAGCTTCTGTTCGTTCAATAATCTGGAGACGCTAAGCGATGGAAACCTTTAGCACGGAGTGGAGGAAAAAAAGGCCATATTTTTTAATTAAACTGTATTTTCGGGGTCTATCTATCCCTCTCGCACAAAGCGAGATGCCGATAGACTAAAGAACATCCTCCACCACAGTGTTACAAACGTGACAGAAATTGTAATAGGGATGTTTTCTGGGTAAAAAAGCAAGAGTTTTAATTAGTCCGTCAGTTAGCTTTCAAAAACTACTCGACACGTATTTTTCACTTTTTAAAACTAATGAAAATGACAAGAGATAAAGCGTGTCAAAGTTCTAAAGAAAAGGCCCGTGACGTCAGTGAGTGCGTAAAAGTGGAGCACTTTGTGACGTCGCGCGGAACTTCAACGCACTATAACTTTGTTTGATTGACAATTAAAAATATACGTGTCCAATATTTTTTTTTAAATTGACGGACTAAAAAATTTTTTTTAGGAAACTAGCCTATTCTGTAATCGTTTCGCTCTGGCATTTATTATTTGTTACTTCCCTCCGTGAAGCGATTTCGAAATTAAAGCACGTAGCTGGTAGACTAAAGAATACGTAGTCTAACATTGTTCTATTACCGCTAATTGCAGGCACCAGAGATGAAACCAAGCTGTCTAACATCAAAGAAGCGATCTCGATATTCGAGAAGTTCTTAGACGACTTCGATTCTATGCATCTGAGCAAGCAGAATAACCCGTACTTAAGTCTGGGCATCGTCAAGACCGCTGCCAAGCTCGCTGAGAACGTGTCAGAACAGCAGGTACTTACATCAGAGTTAGAGAACTTAATGTAAAGCCCAGTACGGCTAGCACGAACAACTTTCGAGTTCAAATCGTTTGCGTACTCAAATCGCCATCAAAAGATTTAGTAAGAAAACTACAACAGCGCCCTTGGGAACGCGTCGTAAAGTGAACTTAGTATGAGATGTGGTTGCACAAAAGTTATTTTGAGAATCAAAATTGTCACGTTATCGTTTAATTCGAAGTTTGAGAATCGAATTTTATCGAATAGGTACGCAAACGATTCGAAGACGAAAGTTGTTCATGCTAGAAGTACAGAACACACCAGTTTGAAACCGGTTTGAAATGGTCGCGTCATGTGTGGTCTCTCAAGGGAATCTAACTTAGATGCAACTCAAAAGTAACTAGAAGTTGCAGTTTCGTTGCATTTGCGTTTCACCGTATGTTCTGGGCCTAAGGCTTACATATTTATTTACACACGGCTTCAAATAAATCGCACCTCCCGCAACAAGGACTTCTCAAACGTATGCATTCCCACTTCCCACCAACATTGGTTGCATTTTATGCCGAGAGGTCCCGGGTTCGATTCCCGGCCGGGCAGAAATTGAAATGATGAATTTTAATTTCTGTGACGGGTCTGGGTGTGACTATGTATAATATTTATGTATTTAAAAAATATATATGNAAAGAGAGGTAGGGCCACAGAGAGCGAGATAGATATAAGTAGGTATTTGACTCAAGTTTTGTTCCCAACTTTGCCCTCCATTTTTATCTGTAGCTTCATGATCATACTATCCATCTTAAATTGGGCGGATTATGATCTGTTTATACACTACGGGTGTGGGCGTAAAAATGTCATTCATTCATTCAATTTCACAAATGTCAAAAAGGGCTGGGACGAAAACGGGCGACTTCGGGATATCGTACAAAATTAATTATTTACACGTGAAAATAACAAAGTAAACTGTAATAATGTGATTAAAAATGTTTGTGGACTGGGCGTGCGTACGCCGAATCGGCTAAAACGGCGTAAACTGCTCCCTGTGTGGACGTTTAACCTCGCTAGTTTTGGCGCAATTGTTTTCTCATTTATCGTTTTGGTATCATGTTGAAATTCAAAAAGATGGGATCGGATAAAGTGCCATTGCTTCTGGTGACCGCCAACGTGGGATCAATATTCGAGGAAGTGAGTATTTTGATTTTTATAATTGATTGTCCTGATTCATTAACGCTTCGTTAACAGTCGCATAAATTTAATTAAAACAACTGCGGGACGTGACAATGTGTGAGTGGGAGTTCTAAATTTGAATTTCGATTCAATTGTCTCCTTGACCTGGGGACAATTTAATTATAGAGCGAAGTTAACGCCCCCTGAAGTAGTCTGGTCTTGTCATTAGATAATAATCAATCAACTGTAAAATAGGTAATTTTGATGCTCTACCTAGTCGGCTTATTTTGAATATCTATATGATTATAGATATCGTCACCGTCGTGGCAGAATTAAATAACTGACACTTTTGGCAAAAACCACTTTTTCCATTTTTTGTATAGTAGAAAGTGTTACCTATATTTTGATCTTACTCTCGTGGCAATATCTATGATATTAAGTAAGTAAGTAAGTAAGTAAGTAAGTTCTTTATTGTGTATAGAAACAAGGTTACAGAAAGATCTTAAATTAATTACAGAGTATCACTTGATCCTACCCTTTCAGGCGTATACACATTTTTAATTTTTATATCTAAACATATTTATTTATAATCTAGGTATTCTTGTACACTATAAAAACATTTTTTAGTTAACCATTCTTTAATAACATTTCTAAATTTTGAGAATTTTAGTTCTTTAAAATCGTCTGGTAGTTTATAAAATTATAAAATAAAATTAATATTTCCAAAGATATCTTCAGTTTAGTGAAACTATTGACCATAAATTACAACTCTGTTTGTTGTAGAATTTACGTGGCAAAACTGAATAAGTGACTTTATTTAATTCTGCCACAACTCAATCCGAAACATTGCTTCAAAATACTCGTACAATTGTGTTTTTGATTTATTTCATTTTTGTAACATTACTTTAAATGTTACTTTTAATTTCAATGTTCATTACTCAGATGTTGAATCTGGATAGTTACCTTCATCATTATCATCATTTCAGCCATATAGGACGTCAACTGCCGAACATAGGTCTCCCCCAATGATTTTCAATATGAACGGCTGGTAGCGGTCTGCATCCAGTGCTTTCTTGCTACCTTTATGAAGTCCACGTTGTGCTTTCCGGTACGTGCCCTCCACTCCAGAACCTAGGGCATGAATATCGGAATCTCGGAATCTCGTAATATCGGAATCTCGGACTGCGAGATCCGATATTTCAATTCCGATATTGAGCGACCCAATATCGTAATATCGGAATCAGATAAACGTTTTAATTGAGATTTTAAACAAAACGTTTAAACTCGCCACAACCTGACACAAAGCCCAAAGTACATGATTGGCAAAGACCAGTGATTTTCTCATGTCTCTCACCATCACTTTTTGTTCCACTGCAAATATTTTAATATTTATATATTATGGTTAATTTAACTTGTTCTAAATCAATTTTAGCATTTGCCATAGGTACTTGGTCAACAAAGAATGACATCTTAACTCCCTTTCAAACATTAATTTTACTGGACTATGGACCGTCAGTTCTGCGTACTATGTGCCCTGCCCATTGCCACTTCAGCTTGCTAATCCGTCGAGCTATGTCAGCGACCTTAGTTAGTTTACGGAACTCCTCATTTCTGATTAGATCTCGTAAAGAAACACTAAGCTTATCCCTCTCCATAGCACGTTGTGCCCTATATTCAAAGGCCACGTTTTCGAGCCGTATATCATCACTGGTAACACACACTAATTGAAGACTTTCATCTTCGTATTCGACGATTTACCTCTGTCTCGAAATTGCATCTAACTACCTAGCTGATCGTTTGTCCAAGATAGACAGCAAGCAAGATAGACGATGAGGCAGCAAGGTTCTGAAGTGGAGGCCACGTACCGGAAAGCGCAGCGTAGGACTCATAACCACATGGTGAACTGACGACCTCATAAAGGTAGCAGGAAGGCGCTGGATGCAGGCCTCCACCAACCGGCCATTGTGAAAATCAGCATCGGAGCCTGTGTTGATCGGATGATAATGGCTCGTGGTTTTGTGAGTTGTACATCGATAATCAAAAAGGAACAAATTACAAGCACATTCAAGTTTTTTACCTCTCTCTACAATTTTTGTAACACGTGATTTGAATGACTCTAAAATTCGTTCCGCCAACATAAAACAGGGTAATATAATGAAGGAGTAAAAGTTTGTTTGATACCTGTGATTTTACAAAAACACTTTAATTATTTGCTAGTCCATTTATAGGCTCTTTATCAGTAACCATTCATTATCAGGTGATCCGTCTGCTCGTTTGCCTCTTGTCACATAAAAAACCAAATGCAATGGATACCCATAACGTCGCGGGAAGTACCTGGATGCAAGCGGCGCAGGACCGGTCTTTGTGGAAATCCTTGGGGGAGGCCTTTGTCCAGCAGTGGACGACTTTCGGCTGAAACGAACGAACGAACGAACCCATAACGTATAAATGGTTTTAAAATACTTCTTTTTTATGAAGTTCTGTTGTGTACCAAATTAAAGATTTTGATTAAAATCATTATTTTATCGTAAACAATCCAGAATTCTTACGAATATAATCAAATATTAATTTTATAGTACATGAACTCAATTCCGATATTAATATCGGAATTCCGATATTGAGATCTAATATCGGAATCCAATATCGGAATTGAAAACCTTCCGATATTACATGCCCTATTACCTACCACTAGGTAGGTAATAATTTAATCACAAAGTCAAGCACCTAAAATCAGTTATCAGTAGATCATGAAAATGTTTTTTTTTTAAGATACGATTAGCTACGATACGATTAGATTTATATATTAGATTCAGAACAAGACAGTCATGCTCTTTTACATCAGTTTCTTTTACAGACGACTTAAATATTCGAAGCACTGATTGATATCATACGGATCGTTTTTTTTATTATTTATGGGACCATATTAAGCAGTTTAAATTTCGCATTCGCAAAGTAGGATGTGGCATAGTGCCATTTTGTAGTAAAATGGCTACGGCATTTCCTAATTTATTTGCGCAATTAGCTAGTTACGTATTTGAGTAATTAAGACTCGCAAAAAACTTTAAATGTAGTGTACGCACAATGTGTCATACCATACATACAGGGTGTCCAAAAAAATTATGGTTAGGACTTAGCATTGTTAGCATGTTGTCACACTGCTGTATTGATACCGAAGTGTGGTGTGATATTACGATGATACGCTGAGAACCCAGTTTAAGACTGTCGAGCCCTTGAATCTTTAACCATTGGACCATAGAGACATGTTTTTCATTACGGCCAAGGTAAGGTAACAAACAAAGCAGCTAATCATCAATTACCATAGACTCGTAGAGATGGAACTGTGTTAATTTTAGCCCGCTGCTATATTCCTCTCGCTATTGTGTCGCATGCGACGGTTTCGTTATTTTGCAGGTAATTATCACCAAATACCTATCTGTTGCTAACGGATTCGCGAACAATAAGAATCAAATTCGGATTCAAATAAGTGGCGATCGCAGCACGATTGCCTCTCTTTTAGTACGCCGCATAATCCTCTTCAAGCGAATGCATTTGCTTGAAGTGGACAGTGCGAGACTTGCGCTACGATTTTGTCGAAGACGCAAATTAGAAATCAAAAAATCAAATCATTTTTTATTTGCAAACATGCAGTACCAATACCATTAATTATGAATAGGGCCGTGTCGGCATAAAATAGTTAATTATTTCATTATTGGTGAAGGCCTACCATCACAATAACATTGTGAATATAATCGAAAACGCGTGCATTTAACTACATTCGTTAAAAAAAGTTAATTGAAACAATATTTATCAGATGCAGCTGCATTAGCTATGTAAAATAAGTGCATTGAAATAGAAAGGCCATTGTTATTCAATAGATGTTACAGTGTACCATAGAGAAGGCAATTTTTATTGCTTGTTCTTATTAAATTATTAACTAGAGTACTGGCTTTGCATGCTAGTGTTTATGATACATATGTAGACCGTTAAATTAAGTTAAACATGTCTGCTTCACTGTATGCTGATGGAAAGTATGAATTTAAATTGAATCTATTTTCAAAACAGTGTAGCAGGTACAGAAAAATGTTGATTTAGATTATTTCTAAAAGATTATTAAAACAATTCGAAACTTGTACATACCAAGTACTGGCAAGTACTCGTGGAGGAGGGTGTCGTCAGCAGCCATTTGTTTCTCCATCTTCCGGANAATTATGAAGTATTAGCGGCCAAGTGAGCCGATGGACATGTGTCCTTGATCCTTGATTTTAATTATGAAGCGTTAGCGATGTGTTCATAGTTGGTATTAGTTTCTATTCTTAACTTGATGACTAACTTTTAGCCTTTTCAGTTTCTTTTTTTTATGTAATGAATACCCACCTAATATTGACGGGCTATTTATGCCCATTTAGGAGACGTACTGGGTGTGCTTGCTGACTTCCAGTAAGATTTTGCTGGTAGATATGTCAAGAGAATATTAATATTAAATAATATTACTCTTAAATATTAATAATAAATATTAATAACTATGTCAAGAGAGCCATCCAATCGTCACAAAAGTTGTGCATGAAGGTTACACTGAGTAAAACACAAACATAAAATCTTTATTTGCGAAGAATCAGTAAAATAGTTACAAGTAACAGTGGAATTACCATGATTTGCTCAAAAAGCACAAAATAATTGTCAAACAATAGATTGTTATTAAATTTTTAGCGTTTGGAGTCGCATCTCAAACTAATTTGAAAATTATAAATAAATTGAAAAAATCGAACTGCCTAAGGCGGGAATTGTGGGTTCAATTCCCGCCTTAGGCAGTTCGATTTTTTCAATTTATTTATAATTTNAAATGAATAAATCAACATTTAGGTCAATAAAAGTGTGGCAAAATTAAACAAGTGTACTTATTCAATGGAAATATTCGTTTTTGTAATACCTTGGTTGTGGTAAAACTAAATAAGTGACATACAAAAACTAAATAACTGCAAATTTTTTGTAAAATACGGTTGTGGCAAAACTAAATAATT